ACAAAATCATAGGTCACTAAGTCTTATATTACCTCTCTCCAAGGCACCAAAGTTATTACTCATTTAGTCATTCACCAAGCATTTACTGTATGCCTACTATGTGCCAAACACGGTTCTAAACAGAAGGAATAAAGTGAACAAGATGGCCAAGACTTCCCGTTTTCATGGAGATTATATTCTGCTTGGGGAAGATAGATAACAATTTTGGTAAAAATCAAGTCAATCATTCACTCCAAGGTCTAGAAGTAGGCACTACTTAAGATGCAAAGGAGGAGCAAGACATCGGTGCCTGCTTTCAAAGAACTTATTATCTTATGGCAAAGATGACATATGAATAAAAAGTATAGTAAAGAGTCGATTTTCATGCATATAGCTTTGGTACAACTCATATTTTTACACATTATATAATGAAGTCCTAAGCCATCAATTCATCTAAATCAACTAACCAACAAGCTTTTAGATTTTCTTTCCAATAATACTGCGTATGAACTCAAAGCTAATTTTTGGTATCTTTGGTATCTTTCTATAATAGCATTCTTCTAATACTTCATTACATTTCATCCTTCTATTATAAGAAATGTTTGCTGAAGAGAAAAAAGTAAAGTGTGACTAGTAAAAAGATACATAGGACTTAGAAATAATTCATTGAGGACAAAACCAAAAATTATTAAATATGCTGGATGTGGCAATAATAAATTCCATGTACTCACTAGAATTATGCTGTAGCTTTACATTACAGAGAAAAAAATCAAAATTAAGTAGCATAAAATACCTAAGATAGACAGTCAAAATTATAATGAAAGGTGGGGCAATACAGGGGTGAAGGTGTGGGAGGCACAAACAACGAGGTGTAAGAGAGGCTCTAGGATGTGTTGTACAACACAGCGAATATAGTCAATATTTTATAACTGTAAATGAAAAGCAACTTTTTAAATTGCATAAAAAAATTAAAAATAATAAACCTCATTTACATTAAAAAAAACAACGAAAAGGCTTAGAGACTTCATTATATGTTTAGGTTTTTAGTACTGAACACCAGTTGTAACATTCAGCATGTGAGTCTACTGACTGACTTGCTTACACACTGTGAAGAAAAACATCATGTTCAAACATTAAGCACAGACTCTGTGAGACAAAATGATAAATGTGTGATACCACAAAGCTGTGTAACACGGGTTTTGGGAGAAAAAATGTATTAGCCCAAAGGTGTCATAAAAGACACGGCATTTCAGATTTTTGTGAAGGATGAACAGAACCTGGGTGATAGGAGGATAAGCATTCTGTTGAAGGCACCAAACTGGTTTAAATAAGGGTACAGAAAAAGATGGTTAAGCCAAAGTCAAACTACAGAGGAATGGAATTCCGTTGGTTCAGATCCTGTTTGGTGAGAGAAAGGCTTCTGGAGTGGCCCCACAGGAAGGACTGTTTACGACGAAATAAGTTTACACAACAGAGAAATTTGAAATATGCAAGTAAATAACACTATTATATCTTACAAAAAGGAGAAAATATTATGTCAAAAGTGAGCTTACTCATTTAATGTTTAATACTTTTGCATATCTGGCAACAAAAGTCAGAAAATTGAGAGTAAGGGCATGAAAAGAAAATCAGCTTCTTATTTCTAACATTCCCTTAAACCAACATTAAATCTAGGACCAAGCACTTACATTACATGATCTGTTCCCCCTCATTCCTAAACAGAAATTACATGTGAGACATTTACTACAAAGTGAAGAATTTGCAGTGTCCGTATTACCATGTAACAGTCTCTTCTGTTCATATACGGCTGATGCTTTGCTTCCTCCATTCCCAATTCATTGCGCTACTGATACTCATTTAAAGACAGAAATATTGGTACAGCTCTTACGCAAATCTGACTCTTTCTAGACAAATTTCTTCAAAGTATAATCATGGGTGCATTATTTTCTGTACCTTTTCATGAAATCTGAAGGACCAATAACATTCTTAAGCTATCTGAAACAGGCCATAAGCCTGCCAATATTAAGCAGCCCACAGAAACTATTCAAGAATTTGAGTTTGATAGTAGACAGGGCAAGAGGACCAATGTGTCTGTTTTTGTGCCAAACTAACATCCCTCCAAGACAAGACTCTCCCCTCTGTCCTCACCTCACTCACCCTCACACACTCTACCTGGACTATGATGCTCTGGCCACGGTGGCCTCGTTGCCATTCCTGAACACAGAGTCACCTACACCTCAGGGCCTTGCAGCCCTGGATCTTCAGAGCTAAATCCTCACCTCCTTCAAGTGCTTGATAAAATCTTACCTTCTCAATGACCACCCCATTTAAAATTGCAAACTAGGTCCCCAGAACTCATCACCCACCTTCCCTGCTTTTCTCCAGAGCAATTACCACTTTCTAGCAACTGTATAAATAACTTCCCTTACTAGAAACTCTGTAAGGCAGAAATTTTGGGGTATTATATTCTTTGATGAATCACAGGTGCCTAGAAACAGCACCTAGTAAACACTGTGGGCACTCAAATATTTGGTGAATGATTAATAACATTACTCTCTGCTACAGTAATCTCTGGGATTAACACAACAGCCCACTATCCTCTACATCCTCGACACTCTCCCAGGGCACACTTTCCTTAAATGGCCTGCTTGTATGTGTGTTTCCTATGGATTCTGATTCACAGTCAAACATGTAGTGAGAAACTCAATGTTTGCAGAATTAATGAAATCCAAATGTTCTGAAAATAAGAGATTAAGTTTCTCTCACGCTAGGCTACTTCTATTATAAAACCACACCCAGGTGATTAATTGCAGATATCTCTTTTTTAAAGGTCACCTTGAAGCCTACCGCCCAGTTCCACTTTTTTCTTTAAGGGCAATGAAAAGATGTATTCAGTGATGCCGTAAAAGTAAGTATTACTTAACCCACTCAAATCTAAAAGAAATCAGGTCACATTTAATCAAGATCAAGAAGCAGGCTTTATGAGAAACGGTATTTATCACTACTTTTGGTTAGATTTTTATTATCCTCCATTTTGAGAAAGAAACAATGTAGCCAACACAAGTTTGTCATACTAACTCAAAGTTTTAGGGACTACTTTTGAAATTATTATTTAAAAGCAGGTGCTCACAAGTTTTTCAAACAGCCACAAACCTTCGACCTGCCTCCCATTTGAGGTGAAGTCTGGTTTCCCACGCCCTGCAATCTGGGGTGGACTTAGTGACCTGCTTGTTAACAACAGATCAGAAAAGGTCACAGGTTTCAGCAGGTTCTTTGGGAATGCTTGCTCCCTGCAGTGTCCTCTCTGGATGCTCAGTCACCACACTGTGAGGAGCCCATGCCACATGAAGAGGACACATGAAGGTGCTCTGGTCAAAGCTTCAGAAGAGCCCAGTCTTCAAGTCCCTCCAGCCCAGGTGACGTGTGAGTGAAGATGCTTCTAGATGACCCCCAGCCTTTGGAGCCTTCCCCAGTTGCTGGAGTCTTCCAAGCTCAAGCCCCAGATACTGTGGAGCAAAGACAAGCCATCCCTGCTGTGCTCTGACCGAATTCCTGACCCACAGAATCCATGAGCATAATAAGATGGCTGTTGTTTCAAGCCACTAAGCTTAGGGGGTGGTTACAGAGGCAGCAGATAAACCAGAAAGTGAATGCTAACCCAAAGCCTATATCTAATTACCATATTTCATTTTCCCTCTACCAGTAGGGCCTAGATTTCATTATTTAGCACAGTTAAGTCATTTACCCAGAGGTCACGGATCAGATGAATCCATGCTCTAGGATAAGGCAAAGAAGTTATCCAAGGAGTGGATAGGTATTACCATCCATTTTTCAGTCACCTAAATCTCTGTGCTGAATCAGCAAGGCTGAGGCACCTTTGTCAAATAACTAGGTTAAGTGCAGGCTATATACTTACATACCTGAGTATGAGCATATACACATGCATGTACATACATAAGCATATATACACATACGTGTGTGTGTGTGTGTGTATGAGCATACATGCATACTGAGGTCCAATCACACTATTTCCAGTAATACCTTATAGGAAACAGAGAAGATAATGATGTAGCTGTTGTTAACAGAGAGCTTCTCACAAGGCTCCGTGCTGTGTTCATGACTCTAATGGATTATTTTCTTCCCCAAGGAATCAATTTATGAAACTGAAAATGATCAACACTTCCAAGAGATAACAAGAATGTATGTACCACACATTAGTAAAAAATATTATGGTAAAAATCTGATTTAAGAAAACAGGCTTAAATCAAACAATATCAGATATACCACTTCTTTCTTGTTTTTCAATACAAACCAGGTAATTTTACTGCAAAATTATTATATAACTGAAGAGTGGAGAGTTCAAGGCTGATAACATGAACTCTTTTACAGGAGTAAAACTGATTTTAGAAGCATTAAAAAAGCAACAAGCAAATGTATATCTCATACTCACAGTGGAGATACTTCAAAAATTAAAAAAAAAAAAAACAAAAAACCCCAATTGCTCCCCTTTCATTGTATTTCTGTAGTCAACACTGCCCTCTAGTGGTATAAAATAAAAGTCAAATGGCAGAAAGCAAATACCACTCATCATTGTTCATTTGAGTATTGTTAAGTCAGGGCATCTTGTTTGGACTACAAATTCCACCAAAGGAAGAATAAACAGAATTAGGATGATCTTTATTACCTACTATATGTTCAACTAGAAACGCTTTTAAAATGCAATTCAAGAAAGACCCTGAAGACTTATCACTTAAGTCTCAGAAAGGCAGGTAGGATAGTGAGATTAAAGCCTCACCATCTGCAGACAAGAAAATTCAACAGGAAGCAAGCTAGGCTAGGTCTTAGGGCATGTGCAATCACACTGAAAAGTGTCCACAGAAACCAAGGCCTCATCACCTGCCAACTCTGTCCATTGGTATATCTGACTCCTCATTTTAGGGAAAAGGCTCAAGAAAAAGTGCACTTTTGGTTGCTAAGTATTTACTGCACCCTGGAAACTTTCCAGGATAAGAAAGACTTACCAAGGGTGGTGCCATCCTGCCCCATGATGCACTTCATGGAGGTGATGATCTGCTCCACGACAGGGGGTGACAGTGACGTGGCATACACTGCACTGTGAGAATGTGTCCGCAGATAGTCGATCAGCTCCTGGGGATTTCACAGAGGCGGGTCATTAGAGGAAATGTGTGAATTCACTGGCAGGGTCACTGCCTTCCTCCCAAGTGAAAGAGGCCTCCTCCCTTCAATAGCACTGGAATAAACACATTAATCTGAGACACAAGGTCAACCAGCACAGTCAAAGCATACTGTCCACAACTGGGTCAGACAGATGACAACGTCCTCAGGTTTTGTTTTGTTTTTTAAACATGCCATAACATGGAAGGGAGAAAAACTAGTTTTACAGAAGCCCTCTAAATTTGGAGAACACATCATTTAAAGTTATAAACAGATCTACAATGCCGAATTAAACAAAAAGTGTTTGGATTGCTTTTTAGATACAATAACTAACTTCTAAGTGTTACAGAAAATATCATCTGCATCTTACCGTATGCCTGTAAAGCCCATCCTCACATCCCTGAGTAAGAGAAAGACAGTTCTCTATATCAGTTTTAAAGATATTAAATACCCTCCAGATACAGATTTATAAAATGGTAAAAACGTGGCAGAAATTAAACAGAAATTCATTGAGTCTTTCATGAGAACACTAAAGCCATCTCACTGAATAAAGAAAAATCTTGTCTGTCAGCTACAAAAATTTCAAAACAATCAGTTGTAAATTCCTATTCTCTGATACCTTTTAACTTCAGTATTTAAATAAAATGTGCACACAAAGAAGCTTATGTGCTAGAGCCAAAACAGGAGACACAAAATGTGGCTAGAAAACATTGTATCACTTCAAAAATAATAAAAATTATATAAAAACAACAATAACATAAATATACCATACCTCAATGATTTCCCAGAGTATTTTTTTCCTATCCTTTGGTTTAGCAACAAATCTTACCAAAAAGCAATCAACTCTCCAAAATGAGCCTGGTCCCTTTAACAAAAATTTGAGGTAAAAAATCTACCAAACTTGACTGAAGCCACTGATAATGGGGTTTCTATGAAAGGCAATCAATTATCAAGAGGAAGTCCAGACTTTACGACTCCTAACGTCAGATTTTAAAGAGGAACTGAAGGACATTTATGAGCGCCTTCCATGTACTGTGTACACATACTTGACATACATTTTTTTTTCCTAATACTTGGAGAGTTTTTAAAAAAAAGTTTTATTGAGACACAATTAATATGCCATAGCATTCATTTTTTTCTAAGTGCACAATTCAGTGGCTTTCAGGACATTCACAGAGCTGTGCAGCTTCCATCACTATCTAATTTAAGAACATTTTCATTACCTCAAAAAGAAACCTCATATCCGTCAGCAGTCACTTTCCACTTCCCCATCTCCTCAGCTCCTGGCAACCATTAACCTACTTTCTTTCCCTCTGCTTTGCCTGTTCTGTCATATAAAAGCAATACTATAATAGGTGACCTTTTGTGATTGACTTCTTTAACTTAACGCTTTCAAGGTTATTTCCACCTTGTAGCATGGACGCATATTTATTTTTTAAACCCTTACTACAATCTTATAAGCTAGGCATATTTACCTCTGTTTTACTGACAAGGAAATGGAAAGGTTAAATACTCTGACCAAGGTCTCACAAAGTTAGGGAAATACTCAAACCTAGGGCTGTATCTCCATGGTTCAACCATTCCATCATGCTACATTGGTTCTCAAGTACCCCAGAGTTCATTATGTAATTTGTAAACTGGAAAATACAATGCATTGCAGTACACCAGAACTAGCAAAATGATCTTTTTTCTTGCTGTCTTCCTGCTCATCCAAGATACATTTGAGTCCAAGAAACAAACTGGCCTTCCATCCCCACTGGCTCCCATGACATCCCCACTACTTTTGAAACAGTGACCACAACTCGAACCCAACAGAAGACTGGCAAACAGGCAGCACCACTGTGTGTTCTTTCAGACAAGAGGGTATTCTGTACTCAAACCAGCATGTAGTTTAGAAAGAAGCTCGAATAAGAAAACAACACACAATGAACAGAACCAGCCTTTAGTTCATCACAGTCACTCACCAGGCAGCTGAAGTGTGAAGCCTGCTGGCACTACGAACCTAAGCCACAAACAAATTTAGGCTCTCCATATCCAAGTTCAGGACTCTATCTGCTAAATGTGAGTAACCAAATCTAAATCTTGTAGCTATACCTTTATAAACCTTAATTGCTTGATTCTCAGGGCCCTTTACCTTCTTGCCTCCAATGTATCCTCCAGAAGCACCAAAGCTCTTTGTGAATGTTCCCATCATAATGTCCACATCCTCAGGATCCAGGCCAAAGTAATCCACCACACCTCGGCCCATGGGGCCCAGGGCCCCAATGCTGTGGGCTTCATCTAGATACAAGTATGCCTTGTACTTCTTCTTAAGGGCAATCACTTCAGGAAGGCGAACAATAGATCCCTCCATGCTGGCAAAACAGGGTGAAAAACATACACACTGAGACTTCTTAACTCTCAAAATTAGAAGTTAGCCACTTTATTATTATTATTAATTTTTTAACTTTATTGCTTTCTTATATGCTGTGACAACTTTGCCTGTGGTTTTATATTGGCAAAGACAGATGATGCTATGGCTACATAGGTGTCTAGAGGAAAGGAGACTGGATCTTTCAAAACAAGCACCAAAACACAAGAGATCTTAATTTACCATAGAGGGACAGAGGTCAGAGCAGATTCTCCTAAAGCTTGTAGTTATAGGCAACATTAGACTCTACGTGACACTGACCGTGTAATTAAAATTACACAAAAGAATAAAAAACATTAGGAAAGAAGAGAATAAATGCAAAGGCTGCAAACAGGTAAGCAAAATAAAGTATTTCTTAAAATTAAATGGCATGTAATTTGTTTTGACCTATTAGAAAACAGATTCCAACTCTTGCCCCTATGTATAAACCGCCTCTACAACAGTGGAAAAATAAAGGGAAAAACAGAAGGGGAATTTGGAGACCATATAGCGTGATGGAAAGAATAAAGAAGAGCCAGGTATTTTAACAAGTCAGAAACCCTGTCTCCTCGGTTTCCAGGGTGGGGGTCTCAATTAGCGTCCCCTTCAGCTTAGCACTTCCATGACTTCATGGGCCAAATCAGACATAACAATAATACAGCAGGGTTACCTATATATTCCCTCCACAAGGATGAGAATTTTCTTCCAGGGCCTTCGTGTCCGAGGCTGACCGTAAACAATGGCATCTTTCAGCAGCTTCTCTAGGCTCTGCATATCTACCGCACACAGAAAAGAACTTCAGCAGAGTGCCTTCCTCTTTTCTAGCTTTATTCCAGAAATGCACATACACATTTCTTATTCAGGAAGTATGTCTCAGACAGCAAAGGACATTAACATAATTAGAACTAGGCAGAAAAAAATAGGGCAAAATGGGTGAGCTGCTGCTACCTTGAATTAAAATCTCATCTAAAATGTAACAAGTGCTCAAAACCACAGAAACTTCACTAAGTGAGTGTGGCACAGTTGGTTCAGTTTGTTAGCATGCTTATGAAATGACCAATGTTTCATGTGAGATTGCTTCAAAAATACACCAATCTGGGCATGCATGAATCTGTATGTTAAGCAAGTTTGGCAACCAGTTGAGATTGTCCCATGTTTCACTTGACCAGCTATCTGTCCACGACTAAGTTTTTGTGACTCTGTTGGTCCTTAAGGTGGTTAGCAGGTCTAGGAAACAACCTGGCTGGCACTACCATTAATGAGGAACATAATTTTCCTGTTAATTAAAGATTAATACTTTGAAGACCACCACAATAGATTTCATACTTAAAATATCTGCCCTGAAATAATGCCCTCAAGAACCAGCCCCCCCAAATCTATGCAACATTAAGTCTGGTGTGTATTTAACAGCGGTGGGAGGCACTCATCAAAAATCTGATTTCATATTCTTTACTACTCATCACTGAAGGAAAGGGTTACAAAATTACATGAATTTGCTCTTTTCATTAAAGGACACTTTGGTAGAAAACAGAAATAAGGTAATAAAAACATATGCCACAAACACAAATAAGACGACCAAAAGTTGTGACTATGCTTACACCTTCAGTTATTTATAACAAAACAATCTATCTGCTACCTAACCCAGAGATAGGAGATGCTCCCACAGAAGCCAAGTCTGATCTGAAGCCACCAGACCTGCTGCAGAGGGCAATGTGTGGCAATCAGCAGGAAACAAGTGAAAATGGACTCATTGTTTTCGTTTCTTCTGTTTATGTACAGAAAGGAAGAGAAAAATAAACACTGATTCAAAATTTTAGATGAAAGGAAATTTCTATAGTAGAATGCTTGACCATATACTATCTACTTAGGTAAAAAAATTCACTCTCTCTCTCATAGTATGCTCTTCAAATCTCATGTAAAGATTTAAAGAAAAAATATACCACAAACTACCAGAAGAAAGGAGAATAACTTTATGATCTTAGAATGGGGAAGGCCATTACGTAAATCCAAACAAAAATGACAACATAAATTTCATAGTAAGTCAGCACAGCAAGACACTAAAAACAAAGTAAAAATAAAAAATATTATAACATAAAAGACAGGATAACTAATATAAAAGGCTTTTATAATCAGTAAAAAGAGAAACAGTTTGAAAATGACCAATCTACAAAGAAATACAAAAACGGTAACTGTATAGAGTTGCTAGACACCTAATAATCAAAGAAATAAAAATTAACATGTTACTGGACTTAGTAGATTAGGAAAGATTTACATGGTACATAATGGCCTAAGTTGGCCTGTGAGTGGAAATAGTCACTGCTTTTGAGTTGAGCTGTTGAGTAAAAATTTGTACAGTGCTTGGAGACAATTTGGAAAAGTATAAAAAATTTACACCATTTAAATTAGGCATTCTAAGACTGCTAGGAATTTATCCTAAGGTATTATCAGACCAATGAGCAAAAATGCAAATGTAGGTAGTACTATTTCTAGCAGAAAAATTAGAAACCACCTTGATGTTCAAACTGGGGAATGGACTGGATGAGGGCACCTCCAGACACTGCCGGCCACCCTGGCATTACAGCAGGAGGACAGTCACATGTACTGCCAAGGTTCCCGAAAATGTGTTGGAAGAAAATGGCAGGTCACACACAGTGTTTCATAAATCTCATTTACATAAATTAAAATATTATTTGTATCTTTCTCACTGTAAATTATTTTAGACTAGACAAAGACAGAAGGAAGAAAGTTATTACCATTCATAAACCTTCCATTCAGAGGCACAGACCTAATATGTGGGTGTATATTCTTTTAGACTTTTGCTTGTACATGTACACACTGTGGTAAAAGATGCTAATAAACATACAGTTTGATGCTCTTTCCTCCCTACATGTGAGGTTTTAACTAGGAAAGTTACACATTTTTACTGTAAGTGATTATTTTAATAGTACACAGACACTTCCATTCAGCGAGAGTTCTGGCTTAGAGCCACCTTTTTCTGGGCTTTTTTTGGCACCCATTCATATCTGTATTTCAGTATCCACCCACTGTATTCTAACCACTGGTTTGTCTACAGCCTCCTCAGCAACCAGTCAGAGATCCTCGAGATCTGGGAACCTGCTTTATTCACCTCAATACCCTCAGTGTTATGGCAAGAAACACCAGACGCATCTAGTAGATATATACTGAACAAGTGATTTATAAATAAAGGAGATGAAAAAGTTCAAAGTCAAAAAGAGAACAATGTTTTACTTTATACCAAAACGCTTCCTTCAGCCTTTATTTTTATTCCAATGAGGAAGAGAATAACTTTTAAAATATTGGGCCAGAGAGATCTTTTTTTAGAAGCTGCTACTTCAGTTTTATTTATATTTTCTATTATTAATGTAACTAATGTTACCACTGCCATTAACCCAAAGAATATTAAACACTAACTAAGGCCAGCAGTGAATTACACAACAAACTTACTGTTGTGTTTGAAGATTCGAATGGTTGCTCCTGACAGTCTGGCTCCTAGGACCAGTGATGCATGGTTCAGTTCATCACTCAGAATCAGGCAACCCTGCAAAACCATAAGCACAGGACAGTAAGAAGCCGGGGGGGGAAGGTTTAGTTACACAAACTACAAAATGCTAAAATCATTAATTATCTCTATTAACAAAAGCTTGCACAACAGCAAAGCTATCAATTTCAAGAAGTATACATTCTCTTTTCATTTTTTTTGCAAAATTAACTTAAAAGTAGATGTAAAATTCTAGCTTTTTAAATTAATTTCTTTGCAATTGGCTTTAAGTATTCAGAAATACAGCAACAGGTTTTTAATATGTAAAATCTAATGTATCTGATAGTCTTCACAGGGTTTCGGTTTTGTTGGTTCAATGGAATTCCATATAAATTTTGGTTATGATGTACTACTTTACTAAGGGGAAAAAGTGTTTGGGGGAGAAAGCATCTGAGGGAGCAATGGCTGTGGAGACAGTGCAATCTTCCTCTCACTCCCACCCATATCCAGCGTTCAATGAGGATCCCACTTATTAATCTCTTCCCCAAGTGATACGGAGTGTAGGCCCCAGTTTTGCCCTTAAAATCCCTGAACAAGCTTTAATTTTGCATGTAAACGTGGGTTTCTGCAGGGCAACTAGAACAAGAGGAGGCTCTCAGGGTTTTCATTTCTTCCCAGTTTTTACTCATCCATGTCTCATAGGGCCCTTCAACCTGTCTGAACCGGGTAGCAGGTTTTTCTCTGTCAACAATGGCCTCAAAATATTCAATCAAATGAAAACAGGTGCAGAAAGTATCAGAATGTTCTCATGAGATTAAAAGGAGAAGAGAAGAGATATATGTCTACTTATTACAGAACACTCTTGGAGGGATACTTAAGAAACCTGAAATAGCAGTTGTCTGCCTGAAATTTTTATATGTAAAGTTTTTATTATAAAGCTAAAAAAGCTACCTAGCTAAAAATGTGCAGATTAAAAATGAAGACAAATAGAGTTGGAGGTACCAATGTGGACTGATGGGTTTTAAAACTTATCTATGTACCCACACATGCACACTACCCAGAGATGTGTGTATGCATGAGTTAGTATATATGCACATACTTTTCTCACTCCATTCATGGAGGGGTGAGAAGCAGTGACATTCTAGTAGGATTAAACACACTAGATCCTGGTTTCTAAATACTATCCTCCAATGAAAGGAACCAGGACTCAATGGAGAACTAGTTGACCCCAAGCAAACCCACAGGTGAAAAAGAGCCCAGAGCATTTTGTCATGCTACAAAGTAAGAAAATGTTTTAGGGAAAAATTTTTAAATAATAATAAAAAAAGGATGGGTGCATATTCAAAGGGCAAAGGAGAAGGGAGAAGAGGGTTGAGAGATTATTTGAAGAAATGGCTAAAAACTTCCCAAGTCTGATGAAATACCTAGAAAAGTCCATGAATTGGATGTATATCCATGCACGAATGCATGACTATACCTTGAAGAAGCTCAATGAATTCCAAGTAGGATTAACTCAGAGACCTTTACCAAGACAATATTAAAATCAAACTTTTGAGTGAAAAAGGAGGATATTATGTAGTATTAAAACATTCAGTACAGCAAGAAGATGTAACAATTATAAACATTTATGCACCTGATAGTAGACCACCAGGATATATGAAGCTAGCATATGCTACAATATGAATGAACCTTGAGGACAATATACTAAGTGAAATAAGCCAGTCACAAAAGGAAAAATACTATACAATTCTCCTTATTATCAGGTGATTAGAGTAGCCAAAATGACAGACAGCAAGCAGAATGGAAGCTGCAAGGGGCCAGGGGGAGTGGTAAATATGGGAGTTATTTTTTTAATGGGTACAGAGTTTTAGTTTTGAAAGATGAAGAGTTCTGAAGATAGATGGTAATGATAGTTGCACAACAATATGAATGTACTTAATGCCACTGAACTGTACAAATAAAAATGATTAAGTTGATTAAAAATTTTTTTTAAATTAAGTTTACAATAGCTCTGGCTTGCCTGAATGCTTTACAATACAAAAGAAGATATGTATGAGGGAGTTTTCATAAATGACAAAGTAAGTCTTACTTTGCTGACAAGAGCAGGAATGTTCATTGAATTTGTTGCAAATCCCATGCCATATGTCATAGCAGCTTCTACTCCCAAGAAACTTGCCACAAGTTTCTCTAGTTCTTCATGTTTGTCCAGGTTTCCTGTGTGAAGAATTAATGAAGTCAATACCACCAATTCCCCAACTTAAGAATTACTCATTACTTCATAAAAAGAAATCATAGTCTATGTGTTACAACCTTGTCAGACGACAGTCTGTGAAGGAGTCAGTACCACGAAGAGTAATAGCTTGTAAAGAATACAATAGTTAAATAGAGAGTGTGTGGAGAGGGCGGGATCTGGAGGATAAGAGACTGTGGAAGGAAGGTGCAGGACTCGGTCAGATCCTCAGCTGATCCCACTACCCAGCTGAAGGGCCAGACATGTAACTCAAGCTATTTTGGATACTCTATCCTCAGTCATAATGCCCTACCCAATCCCAGTTGGAGCTGAGATAAATGACAAGCCCTCCCCAAATCACAAAATCACAAGCAAGTTAAGTATACATTTCTACTGTAAGCCACTAAGTTTTGGAATGGTTTGTTATGTAGCAAAAGGCAAGTTAAAAAATACTTTCCCTTATTCTGTATTGTGATTTTACAACAGTGCGCAAATCCTTAAGGACCAAACAACTGGCTAAATGCAGAAAGAAAAGATGCTGAGAAAGAAGACTGTTGAATTTGGATGTTATATGTCCTTAAAGCTTAAGCAAGTCATTTAACCTCTCTAGACCTCAGTTTCTTATCTATCTACCTCATGACATCATTGTGAAGATCAAAAGGGATAAGATGTTCAAGCAATTTATAAAATATAAACTGCCATAAAGATGTAAGATATGATTATACTATGTCATCACTGCACGATGCACTCTAACCACATCACTGGGACCCTGAGAGAGAACCACCCAGCCGCATGTACCATTCCCTAGGCCCGTGAGAAATAATGAATTGTTGTTTTAATTCACTAAATTTGGGGGGTGATTCACAGTAACAAATACCCAGAAAGTTGCTTTATAATTTCTGTGGTTATCAGTTTCCTGGAACAAAATGGAAAAATCTAGAATCTTCCTTTGAACTTAAATAAATTAAATCTCTCCGTATAAATTTGTTTACTTTTACATTTTATAGACATATAATAATAATAAAAGAGTTAACATCTATTGAGTGTTTATCATGTTACAAACACTTTACACAAATTAGCTTTCTTTTCTTTCTTTCTTTCTTTTTTTTTTTTTTGGTGCTGAAATCCATATTCAATTCTTGAAACAGGACAATAAGGCAGGAATGATGATTAGCCCGAGTTTTCCAGTGTGCAAACAGGTCAACCCTTACAGGTCCCTGAGCCCAGCAGTACTCTTAACCACTATCATTTGCAAAAGCCAATTAAGTTAACATTAAAGTTATAAATGAAACAAATACTTAATGGAACTTTTCTTGAGATATTCTACATGTTCAACATTATGGAAAACATAAATATATCTCAAAACACAACTAAAAGCATTAAAATCACCCGTCATTTCAGAAAAATAAAATATTATTTACCTGATCTAAACTTCATGGCAAAGTATGTATTTGGATGTTTAATATTCTAGCTCTGTATCAGTATCATTCCTGAGTAAAAAGGTTAAGAACATCAGCCGGCCAAACACAACCGACACTTACCAATCTCCTGCCGGGTGCTGCACACTCCAACTCCGTACTCCTCCAGGACTTTGGCAGCTGCCTCCTGACATGATCCAGTATTCCGTGCAAATCCAAGATAGTTGTAGGAACCCATGTTTATAACACCTTTAATTATGTTCCCTGTGTACCTGTGTTTCAATATCATAAAAGTTCATGAAACCCACGAGCAAATCAAATACCTACATGTGATAATAAACTTATTGGTAATACAAAAGGAAGTATACAGGGGGTAGAGAGAATATGGTTTAGATGAAAAGCAGCTCAAACTCACTACTGATTAGGAAAATGGAAGTTAAAACAAAATGCCGTTTTTCACTTATCAATAGTGATGTTTGAAAACTGACCATATCCAGTGCTGGCCAGCACACTGCAGATAAGATCAGTCAGTACCCTTTTTTGGAGGGCAGTTTAGCAGTACTAATCCATTAAAAGATATACATACCTTTCACTCAGCAATTCCTACATACATATAAAAGGATACTTGCTTAAGGATCCTTTAAAAGTCACTACACAACCACGTCCCTTTCCCAGGCACACGGACTAGTGATACTTCACAGGTGGAAGTTTAGTCAGCCTGGGACCCCAAGTGAGGACAACATGGTTCAGAGGTCCTACCAATCTAACACTAACATGAAGTATAGACAAGAAATAAACTGCTGTGTTCTGACTGTGAGATTTTGGGGTTTTTAACATAAGATGATGCAGCCAAAACTGCTACCCACCTTATATATCCATCTATACTGTAGAATACTAAGTAACCACTACGTAGTGTGAATACACACAAGTTGCCTTGAATACACACAAGAAGGATGTTACTGATTATGTTAGCAAGTTAAAAAAGCAACATGTAAAATAATTTCTATAGTATGATCTCATTTGTGTAAATCCAAAACTACCTGTGTGCAACCCCAGTAATACACGACATACATACCCCACAAAAAACATCAGGAGGGATAATATACAATAAACTGGTAACAATGGTCACCTCTGGGAAGTGAGGATTTGTGGGGAAGTGGATATGCAAAAGGACAGTGGTCATAGTTGTCATAGGGGAACTTCAGTTTACCTGTATTGTCTTTAAAAAAAAATGACCACACAATCATGTAATACTTGTACAATGTAAAACATAATAAAATTTTACAAATACAAAAAGCTCTCTAAACAATTCAATCCATTTAAGTAAAAACAGTCCGTATATCCTTGAATCTTTGTGAAACCAAAATATCCAGAAAAAAATTCAGTCACTTGATTCTGGTAAATGGCATAACAGAAAAGACTACTTTTCTTCATGGGTTTTCTAAATAAGTCAATTTCTGCTTTCAGCTATAATCGATCACAGTAACAAATGTAATAGAGAAATAGATTTTTTTAAATCTCAATAACAATAAACAAGACGCAAGGAAACTAATCATGCTGTATTGTACTCTCAGCTTCTACTTTTATTTTGACAGAATATATTAATTGCAGTAGAATATTTTCTGAAGTGAAGAAATTCTTCTCTAGTTGTCAAGAAATAACTTCCCAAGAGACTCACTTGAAAGACCAGTTGTAATCATGAGACTGTCTCTCCATGATGTCCACCCTGGCTCCAGGCACACTGCAGATGGGTCGATTCCAGTTGTCTCTAATCCTCATGTAGAGGTTCCTTGTATAGAAGTTCTCGAAATCCTGATACAATGACACAAAGTCCTGCCAACAAATGGTGAAATACTTTCTATAAATTTAACTGAGTTCTTCTGAAAAGTTTTACAACTTCCCCTTCCATATTGCAAAAGGACTTTAGAATGAGAGGTCAGTTATACAGAACTAACTCATATGAAAAACATTTGGAAAGGCATCAGTTTTTTACCTATCTATCTATCTATCTATCTATCTATCTATCTATCTATCTATCTATCTATCATCTATCTGGCTGTTTGTTTGGTTAGTTCATGGAGGCACTGGGGATTGAACCCAGGACCTCATGTATGCTAAGCACATGCTCTATCACTGAGCTATACCCCCACCCACTATGTCTATTTTAAAACAACTCTTAGTCAGGTAAAAGTCACTTAGCTTTGATGGTTGATCTGTAAGAAATGGTTCCAAGTAACAGAGAGTTACTGTATGACAGCATTAAAGCAAAGCCTAAGAACTGAATTTGGTAAAGCCGGCCTCACAAAAATAAAACTTAGGTGTACAATTCTGTCATTAAATGGTCTTCCTTCTTAATAACCTTATAAAAACTGCTGTTTTGCCCCTTCCCCAACAGTAACACACTGGGGGGAAATGCCATAAAAACCCTTATAATTCCAATTTCTGCCAAGAAAAATAATTTCAAAATTAAGATTCCATCCTGTGCATATTTTCAAGGATCAAAATAAAATAAAACCAAAGAAAAATTATAAACAAGAAATATTAAAAGGTAGATTATAGAAAGACACCTATTTCAAGTTTCCTTCCTTAGATGGGAGTTTAAAAAAAAAGAAATCTCAAATTGAATTTCCATGATCAAGGATTTAAAGCTCTCCTTTTCTCTCTGAAATTAAATTATGCCAAAATTTACATCTGTAAAAAATAACAGTCATAGTGGAGGTGTAATTACTGTATAATCTTATGTCCCACGTGGTATGACCACTGCTGAGGACACACCACGACCAGACCACATGAGATCTACTTGAAGGTAAAGGGTAAACCAAACAAAAAGAAAACCATACTACAGTTTTACAATAGCCAGCAAACCACCAAGCTTTTAGCCCTCACATCTGGGCTTGATGCCAATCTAAATCAATCTGTTAAGTAAGCTAATCAAAAACATTAAAAGTTTAAGCCTATTCTGTAAAAATTTTCATTGCTAACGAAGACTCTACATAAAACTTTAAAATTAACAACCTTCTATGACACTGGACTCTAAAGTGCCTACTAAATAAGCCTCACAGTAGATAAAATCTTAAACAAAGCTAAGCAGAGTCAGGAAGTACTCAGGAATTTCTGGTACCCGATACCACCTCTCTGGCAATTCGTTCTAATATTTACATCTTCTTAAGAGAAAATATCCATAAATAATGTCTTCTCTCACAACTGGAAATTTATCACTCAAATACTATGTCCCTTTTGATAACCTTCTTTTCCAATAATACTGGATGAATTAAAATTGAAACAGAGACATCCAAATTCTACGTAAGGACTTTCCTTTAACTACTATTCACCGTGCGTTTATTCCAAAAAGGAAAAAACAAAAAAGTAGTCTCCACCTCTTCAATTCACATCAAATAGGGTAAACAGTACTAACTCTTCTTGATTTCATTTCTTTATAACTTTCTAAACACTGCACATTAATGCTAAAGGTATTATTAACACATATACTTGAGAGAGAAATACTCCATCATGGACAAGTTTTTATTAGCAACAAAAAGCAATTTTTTTTTGCTTTTACTATATAAATAAAAAAAAAAAACTTGAGAGTCTAGTCCTATCGCGCAGAAGGGTTATTAAACTCCAAAGAGAAAAGGGCTACAGGCCAGAATGAGATGAGATTTGGGTAACTACTGACATAGCCATCTGAGATTAGGAGCCATCTGAGATTAGGAGGGCAGGGATGGACTCTGATCTCCTGAACAGAGACAGTCAAGATCAGGGAGCTCCACCTCTCCTTACACAGTCTTAGAAAGACTAAGTTCCTAAGGGATCAGACTTACACAGTGAAGAAGCTGTCACAGGGAGGGATGTTAGAGATCAAAAGCAGGTGGGACAGAAGGGTAGAAGAGAGGGACTCATGGCCAGGGTAGCAGCTTTGACTGCAGTTGGAAGGTTCGGTAGAGAGCTGAAGGGAAGCTCACCAACTCCCTGCAGCCTTGAAATGAAGTAAGAAAGGGGATGGAAGGGGACCGCTTTTTGTAGTTCTAGTTCTAGGCAACAGCAGTGTCTGTTTCCAAAAACATCTCATACACTTTAAATATTCTAGGACTAGGGTTAAACTAGAGGACTTATCTTTTCATTCATTCTTCCAAATATCTTTTATTGTGCACTCAATATATGTTGAATTCACTGATAGACTTGAGATACATTAAAGAACAGAATAGTTCTCTACGCAAACAGTGACACTGCTCCTACCCTCACTGCCCCACCCCCATCCCACTCCACGTCCCCATCCCACTCTTCTTCCCCTTCAGTTTAGTCATTGTGAAATGACTTTAGTCAGGGCTGACCCAATACTCATTTGCTCAGACACTGAACAAACATTTACTGACCAATACTTTCCAGGAAATAAGTCAGGCACTGGGGATAAAAATGAGTAAGACACAACCTCTATACTCCCAAAGATCTCTTAGTGTGGTGGAGAGGCACATGAATGAAGTTACAATACAATATAACAAGTATTGTAGGGGGCTGCTTGCCCAGAGACAGTGCCTAATCAGTAGCTGAGCGGGAACAACAAGAGTTGGTTCAACCAGTCCTACGGATGCCCTTTTCATGGACACTTTCTGAAGATCCTCGCAAACCCCATGTACCAGCATACAACCAGGACACACAGAGAACAAGACCTCGCTGACACCACTCTGGATTTTTGGGCTTGGAGTACTCACCAGTTAAGAGACTTCTCCATTAGCCTCAAAGGAAAATAATTCAAATTTATGGATTTGTTATTTAGGGATCAGTGAAGACCTTACCAAAAGTAATCTGGGATCATCTTAATAATTAGCCAATAAATAATCTTTATTGTTTAAGCCTATTTTAGGTGAGTATTCTAGAAAACATCTTATATATTGTTTAAAATAAACAGGTACCACCTATTCTAGTGTCTACGCGGGCCTTAAGATCACAGGGTAATATACTATAATAACCAGTGGGATCTAGGCAGCACCCCAAAACCCAACACGTTAATATATCTGCAGGAAAACTATGACTGTTCATACTAAGTGGGATGAATAAGAGCTGAAAGAGCAACCCATCTCTTCAGGTCAGATTTTGCCACATGTGTTGAAAAAAAAAACTTTTTGGTTTTCAGATATTTTAGGACATTGATTGTAGACATGGGCTTGTGAACCTTCTGGAAAAATACAGGATGATCATGACAAGTGAAACCGTGCCCCAGAGAGTTAACAGAAGCTGACAAATAAGAGAAATTCTTGAACTTTTCTTACAGAACAACAGATAAGGGAATAGACTGCTAAAAACTGTTTGTTTGCAAGCTGTCTTCATTGATTAAACTCGCTTTAGTTTTGTTTTTGTTTTTTCTTTTTTAACTGCATGCCTTCCCAGCTTAAACAGTCCAGTTGTTTCACAGGAACTTGGAGTCAGCTCCTGCCCAGTGTGAGCTGGCTGGGGGCTGGTAGGGACCATCAACCCTAAAACTGAGCCTGGATGTCCAATGAATAGGCTTTTGACATTAGAGGGCTAGAAAACTCTACCCTTAGGTCAAGCTAAGCAACTCCATTTTGAATATGCAAAGCATGTAACCTAGATGTGCAGAACAGATTACCTCACCTTTTCCCTGTCTCCAGTCACCTTTCTCCATGCCTAAGGCCATGCTGTTTATCCCATAAATACCCCAACACCCTCACCTTCAGGGAGGTGGATCTGAGACTTGTTCTCCCATCTCCTTGCCTGTCTGCCTTGTGGATAAACTCTTGGCTATAAATCCTGGAGTCTCAGCATTTGGCTTGCCGCACACTGGGCAAAAAGACCTGGCTCAGTAACACAAGTATTATTCTAGTATTTGCATTTCTATGTAGCATACTAACCCTCTGCATATAAATAAGTTTTGAAAGCTAAACCAAACCAAACCAAACCAAACCAAAATAAAAAACCAACAAGGGAAAAAGGCTGAGTGCTACTACTTAAAGAAGTTGACTTTAAAACAATCATCCATGTTTAAGAGCAATTCAGGCCAACATAGATGACCCGATACTTTCATATGATGATGAAAAAGATGATGAATAATCACATCAACAGCAACAAGAGTTCCCATTTACTGAGTACTTACGTCTTGCCAACTGTTAAACACACCTTTTCTCTTAAATATCTCTGAGTCCTCTTACAAAAGCTACTATTCCCATTTTCAGAAAGGCAAAATGGCTTTCTCAGTTAGAGAACTGGCCAGAAGCAGTGCCAGAAACTGACCCAGGTCTATGCTCCTAACCCCAAGGCCACACTGGCTCCCATTCTATGCTGTTACTAAATCAATTGAAATATTCTCTACAGCAGTCAAAGCACTTTAAGACCACTGGGCTACTGGCCTTCCCACTCCTCTCCTATGTTCTGCCTATGGCTAGCGTGCCTGTGATTTTTTTTGAGAACTAAATATTTAGTAAGTTATTATCTGTATTTTGTAGATTAAAACAAGACAATGTGTTCAGGTCACACAGGAACTCAGTGATACAGCTGAAACTGAGACACTAGCACTATTCCAAACTGAGCCCTACTTCTAATCCTAGTAAGAATTCTCAGCACCAGTTCTAACTTAACAACTTTAACTTAGTCTAGAATCTAGGGTACAAATCTCAGCATATCAACGGACAAAATTTCTCTCAAAAAGGAGCATTTGAGGCACACAATCACTGCTTTGATGTTTGGATAAAAAGCTTGGCAAACATGCTCAGAAATGTTTCAGGGCCTTCTCAAGATAAAAATGACTTACAGTTCCACTTCTGACCTACTATCCCTGATGCAGGGAAAGAAATGAGGGTAAAGAACTCTAGCAGTCAATA